CCTTGAGACTGTGGCCCCTAGCTGCCCTTCAGGTCTGGAATTGAACCCACTCCTGTGGCTTCCAGCCAAACAAAAGACAGGCATATGAGCTGAATGTTTACATTAGGTAGATACATTCCTTGGAGAGATCAATCATGGGAGACCGGAAGGGCACTGTATGCACAGGGAGACAGCTCAAGGGGTTGCAGGGGTGTATGGGAGGGAAAGACACAGGGAAGAGGTAACTGGGGAGGATGTGGGAGGGGAGCTGTTGCATTGTGGGAAATTGCAGTCAGTGTCATGAGACAAAGTATATGTGAGCTGCTGTATGGAAAGGGAATTTGTTCTGTAAACTTTCACCCAAATCACAATAAAAAAAATTTTTTAAAAAAAGAATCCATTAGAAAACAGTAGCATGCCTCTACACTAATGTGCTAAGATACTAAGATCTACCAATTATTATACTTTGGTTCTACTTACTTTCAAGACTTTTCTTTCATGACACTTGCCACTCTCATATCTGCCCACACAAATGTATAAAAACCCACCACATTCTTGAGTTTGGAGTTATCCAATAAGTTGCTGTGCTTAACTTTCACACAAAAGTGCCTTAATGGGAAAAAAACAACATTCGAGGGTGGCAAGTGGGAGGGAGAGAAGGAGGGAGGGCAGTGGTACATGTCACGTGGCCCCAAGAGGAGCTGATGCAAATGTCACCTGTCTGAAAACACTTCCTGCAGCTTCAATTTGTGAATTCTTGTTTTATTTCATAATAATTGCTTTTAAAATACTCCCGTGTTAAGTGACTTACCCCAAGCAAATTGTTTTCAAAGAGGATACTCACCGTCCTTACAGTGTGATTTCAGATATTTCCTGGTGTTCAAATATCTCTTGGTCCAGAAGTTAATGGACTCAAAAGAATGGTTGGTGTTTGTTGTATAAGAGTAACTACCAGTAAACTGTTGCGTACTGTTTTGTACTTGAATTTGTTCATGATCCTTTATTTTGTACTATGTAGGTTTCTTTTAAAATTTATTTCTGTTCCTCAGGAATAGAAGGAATTTTTTTTTTTCTTTTTTTAAATTTGTTTTATTGTTGATATTGAGAACATTTACAACAACAAAACAAACCAGTTGAACGGTTTCTACATGTAAATTTCGGTGACATTGATCACATTCTTTGTGTTGTACAAGGTACCATTCTCACCCTCTTTTCTGAGTTGTTTCCCACCACTGACGTACGCTCACTGCCCTCTAAGGCTCCTATCTTTCAATTTGCTTTTGTCAGTTTGATCCCATATAGATAGATCTTAAAACAGCATAATGTTCAAGGAAGACATTCATTTACTAGTTAAGCTAAACTGTTGTTGCTTTTAAGAAGACTTCAGGGAATATTTTTGGGTTAAGGTCTAAAGATGATCTCAGGGTGGCAGTTCAGGAGTTCACCCACTCTCTGTGGCTCCAGACTTGCCCATGAGAATTTGAAATTCTGTTCTGCATTATCCCCCATTTGATGAGGATTTTTATATAAGATGTTCAATCAAAACGTTCAATAATGTTTGCCAGGCACCATCCAGTTGTTTTGGTCTCATGGAAAAGGAGGCAGGCAGTTGTTCATGAAGGCACTTAGCCATACATCCATTTCCAGGAGAAGAAATATTCTCTAATCTGCCATTTTGAATTGGACGCCTCTGGTTTATTTTCAGTCAGTTGCTTGCCTATCTATAACCTTTTCCAAGGTACAACTAACTTTTTGTTTTTTCAGATGGGTTTAAACCCAGCAGAAGCATTGTTTTTGCCAGTTGGAGTGCTGGAGAATTTGGAGCTGTCGGTGCCACTGAATGGCTAGAGGTATTATCTATACATCATCCGTACCCAGAACGGGCACCTGAACTTGTATTGACTTAAGCTGTCCTCCAGAAACCATGCTCTTTTAGGTTTGATTATACCATATTTTGTCTTTGTATATTTAGCCTCAGTATAATCCATATTTAAAATGAATCCCTAATAATAGCTATCCTGTAGAATAAATGGGTTAATACATATTAGTGCATTAGGTTTTTTTTTTTTTTCCCCCTTCTAGGGATACCTTTCAACCTTGCATTTAAAAGCTTTCACTTTTATTAATCTGGACAAAGCAGTTCTTGGTAAGTAGCCTTTCCATTAGCTATTTAGGAATTCAGGTAAGTGCTTCGAAGAAAGCTTTCTAAAACAGGTCTTGTTATTTTTTACAATTTACATTGACCGGTATCAGACCAAAAGATTGCTTTGGCTCTCTCTTAAATAGTCCACCAATTTCTAGAGTGGGCACAGGCTGCCTTGTCTAGAGCAGTGGTTCTCAGTGTGGTCCCTCAGAGTAGCAGCATCAGGATCACATAGGAATTGCTAGAAATGCAAATTCCCAGACCCTACTCCAGACCTTTGGAATCAGCAACTTGGAGCCTGGGTGCAGCATACTGTGTTGATGCACTGAAGTTATGAGAACCACAGATCTAGACTATGTTTTAGACTAGAAGGAACTAAACTGTATCATATAAAGTGGTATTTCTAGAGATTCTAGATTATGGCATCACTGATAGAAATACTGGATAAGACAGTTTGAATGTTACTGAAAGTGTAGATGTAGCCAGTGGGTGAACTGCAAATAGTGAAATGTCTACATTGGGAAGAAAAAAGAAGTAGTTAAAATTAAACTGAATCCTTAATAGATGGGTCAGTATTTCCCTGTCTTACCTATACAGCAGTATGTATTGACTATAGTAAGCTCCCTGTAGCTAGCAGATGACTGCCCCAACTTAGGTGAACCAAAGAAGTCCAAAATAACACCAGCATTAAAGTATACAAACTCAAAAAGTAAGAATTTCAGTTGAGTCAAGGTAGGAATAGCATAGTTATTAAAGAAATTGACTCTTAATCACTTTTTCTTCTAATTCATTACTAAGTAGGATAGTTGTCATATAGACTGATCATTTAGATTACTGTCTTCTTGTCTGTCAAGTGCTTTTTAGTAGCAGAAGTAGTTGTGTGAAAGTTGCTTGACTGGGAAAAGGGTGATGTTAACATAATTTCCTTGTAGGTACCACCAACTTCAAGGTTTCTGGTAGCCCGATGTTGTATTCGCTTATTGAGAAAACAATGCAAGATGTAAGTATAAATCTTAGTATAAAAATGTAATGTAGAATTTAAATTTTTTTTTACTATATTTACATAAGGAGCACTGGTAGCAGAGTGCCTAAGGCACTTGACTGCTAAACAGTAGGCTGGTGGTTCAAACCCAGCAGCCAATCCTCGGAAGGAAGGTTGGGCAATCTACTTCTGTAGTGATGCTGCCTTGGAAACCCAAGGAGGGTCACTATGAGTCGGGTCCAACTCGACAGCACATAACAACAACAACATAATTTACATAAGATGAAAAACATTGATATTTAAACCATTATAAGTGACCAATAACAGGTTTAGAATGACTTCCATAACAGCATTACTTAGTCAGGTTCATGACTTAATGGGTCCCCAGCCATGTGTAATGAAGGAGGTGATCTCCAAGCATATATAGTCTGTTTTGGAATGTAGAACAGAATGCCATGATCCCTGAGCTACATTATCATGCCCACAGGGAATTGCCTATAGAATCAAAATGTTAAAAGATTAAAATGGACTTGAACTTTATATACATAAGGCTTAAACAAGAACACCATAAACTGCCATTGAGTCAATATGAATGACAATAATTTTAAATGAGGAGGAACATGTAGAAGAGAACATTTGCCTAATAGGGTTGTTGTTGTTGTTGTTATGTGCCATCGAGTCGGCCCCGACTCATAGCGACCCCTCCTTGGGTTTCCGAGGCAGTTATCACTACAGAAGTAGGATTGCCCAACCTTCCTTCCGAGGAGTGGCTGGTGGGTTTGAACCGCCAGCCGTCTGGTTAGCAGGCAAGTGTCTTAGCCACTATGCTACCAGAGCTCCTCTAATAGGGTTAGAGGGTATATATTGGAGTGATTAAATTTAGAGGGATAAAAATAGACCTTGGCCTTGATAACATAGGCAGTACTGTGTGTACACATTAGGCTGGTGGTGGTAGCATAGTGCCTAAGGCACTTGACTGCTAACCAGGAAGCTAGCAGTTCAAAACCACCAGCCACTCCTTGGAAGGAAGGTTGGGCAATCTACTTCTGTAGTGATAACGGCCTCCAAAACCCAAAGAGGGGTCACTATGAGTCAGGTCCGACTTGGTGGCACTTAACAACAACAGAAGGGAGAAACCAGAAACAAGCATATCATGAAGGCTAAAGATAACTTTTTAAATTAAGGGCACATAACAACAGCAACACAACTTTAAAATGTCAGTTAATGAGGAAAGCATCTTTTTTTTAATCATCATATTTGAACTAAGAACTAGGACCTAATAGGAATAACTTAATAAATTTGTTGTTCAACTGTTTAAAGCAGTTTTTTCCAAAAAGATTATAGTGAAAATTTAGCATTTTTAGATAGGTATGTGACTAACCTGAATAACTAATTTCAGAAAGGTTAGTTTTAATTAGTTAGTAATTTAATTTCTTATTTTACAGGTGAAACATCCAGTTACTGGGCTGCCTCTGTATCGGGACAGCAACTGGGCCAACAAAGTGTAAGTTGAGAAAAGTTAATGGACAAGCACCTACAATGCTAGATAGACTTCTAAAGTTAGCCTTGCAGCGAGCTTACCTATATCTGGAGAGGTTTAGTTTAAGAATTTGTTTGGAGGTAGGGGGAGGGTGGCATGGTAGCGTGGTCCATTCTTTAGACAAGTTTTCTCAAGGCCCCTTTTTATTTTTCTTGCAGTGAGAAACTTTCCATCGATAATGCTGCTTTCCCTTTCCTTACATATTCTGGAATTCCAGCAGTTTCTTTCTGTTTTTGTGAGGTAAGTCTAAAGACCTTGTAAAGCATTATTTCAGATATTTTTAACAATGTCGAAGCTTAAACTGTTAAAAGTTAGACACATGCAGGTATTGTTTCTCCCTATTATTCTGTTAACATAGAATTGAGTCTCAGCTTAATTAGCATTTGGGTTTATTGCTAAAACTTAAATTAAGTGTGATGAGTTTTAATAATAAGGCTTAATTGCCATTTAAGATACACCAGTTGGTCTCTCCTCTGGAGCAAAGAAGAATGAAGAACAGCAAAGACATATAGAAACAATTAGTCCAAAGGACTAATAGACTATGTGAGTGTTAGCCTATACGACCCTCAGAACAGAAGAACTAGATACTATCCAGCCACCAATGCAACCACTTGGAAAGGGATCAAAATTGGAGATCCTGGATAGAGTGGGAGAAAAGATGTGGAACAAAATGAAAAAGCATAAGATCGGGATTACTAATTGGATAGAGACTGAAAACCCCAAGACTATGGCCCGTAGTCACTCCTCAGGCCTGGAAGTGAACTCATTCCCATGGCTTAACTCTCAGCCAAATAGTAGACAGTCCTATGAATTGAACAACTACACCAGGGAGATGCGCTCCTTGGAATGATCAACCATGGGAGATCAGAAGGGCAACATTTGCACAGGGAGAAAGGTAGAGAGGCAGGAATGCATAGGCAAGAAGAACACAGAGAAAGGGTAACCACAGGGAGGAAGTCGGAAGGCAGCTGTTACATTGTTGGGATTATAATCAGTGTCACAAAACAAAATGTGTATGAATTATTGAATGTAAAACAGGTCTGCTTTGTAAAATTACAATAAAAGTTATTTTAAAAGTTAATAACAAGGCTTAATTTCTTAAATGATATAGTAGACAGTATAGGTGTAGAATAGTTGCATGATAACAAAGTTCTTTTGAACAGTGGTATTCTAGATATTTGTTGAATTATGGTTCTAGATGTTAGTTTTTTAAGCAAGGATTATGAATAAAGCACAAAAATCAAGTAGCTATAGGGTGGTCTTGATACAGAACTTTGAACTGACAAAATTGTTGGAAAACAATATTGGCCTGGTACAAGAGGCAATTAGAAAGCCAGGTAGAGTAATAGAACGGTAACACTTCAGCTGTGTGCTGAAGTGTTAGGGTTGGAAAACTCTCCTGAGAGGTGGCGAGAACCTAGAGTTAATAGAGGGCCAGCGAGTTGAGGTGAAAGCTGTTGACTTTGGTATTATTAATCCGTTAGGGGCCAGGTCTTTATTGGACTCTTCATCACTGGGTTTTTTAGCCTAGAACTAGGAGGGAGAAAGTCTGAAGTGAATGATGAAAGATCTGGATTTGGAGATTAACCTAGCTCCTCTGCTAGAACAGCAGTATGAATGGTATAGAAATAGTTAATCATGGTATCTGTTTAGTACATTAGGAAGAACTGGGTGTCAGGCGCTATGGTTGAAGAAATAGAGTTGAAGAGTAAGAAATAGTTACTAAAGATATCTAATGAAGGTAAAGAGAAGTTCTTGTATGCATCAGACATCCTTGTTAGAAAGGTAACGTGTGAGTGGACTGAGTGTCCATGATGAGGAAGAAGGTAAATTTTAGTAATAACTTTTTAAATGGAAGGTACATTTCATGCATATTCTCTTTCCCATTAATATGGGCCAAACTTGCCAGAGAGGAGTAAAAAAGGAATACAGACTCAAGGGATTTTGTGAGAAATATGCTCAGAGGCTATGGTATGACGAAGCTGTGATTCCATAAAGCCTTGAAAAAAGCAGTCATTCTAGAAGTAGGTTAGATTCAGGGGAAGTAGCAAGAGTGGTGTCTTCTTAAAGTCATAGATATGAGATAAACTTGGGGTAGGAATGTATCAGGAGTAAGAGAAAAACTGTTAACCTGAATAGCTAGACGTGAACATGAGACTTCTCCTTTTATAACCCACATGAGTACAATAACTAGTTTTGTTTTCCAGGATGAAGATTATCCTTATCTGGGTACTCCAAAGGATACCTATGAAATGCTGATTCAGAGAATTCCTCAGTTGGGCAAAATGACATGTGCAGCAGCGGAAGTGGCTGGTCAGCTTGTAATCAGACTTACACTTGGCCTTGAATTGAACCTGGACTATGAGAGGTATAATGACAAAATGCTTTCCTTTGTGAAGGATATGAACCAATTCAGAACAGACATAAAGGTGAGCACTAATTAAAACTGGCTTCTTTTTGCTAAAGTAACAAACCGTTTGATGTGTGATGTTTAGCTGTTTCTGGGGAAGGGCTTGATTGGTAATAGTTCTGTTAAAGTGAACTGAGATATAATTTTGCTTGGAATCTTAACTCATTTTGAAAGGAAAGTTGGAAGGCTGTAGGTTACAGGCCTAGGGTAGATTACAACAAATATTTCAAAATCAAGAGCTAGCTTTGTTGTTTTTAATCACTGTTCAGATATTCTAGGAAACCCATAAATAAATAGGTATAATTTCTAGAACTGAGGGTAGAACCCAGAAAATAGGAAGATCTCAACCACGAGTCTCAGTCTGTGAGTTTGAGTCACATGCCTTTGAGACATGTAGTTAGAACCTTGTCGCGTCTAGCATTCAAGCATTTGATAAGATGAAATTAATAAGTGGTTTCCAACTGTTTTTAAGGTAGTAAAGATCTATAACAGATCCCTTAATTGAAATAAATACCAATAACCACATCTTAATTATTACAGCTTTCTCAGAACTTGAAACTGATCCTAACAGATCAAAAAATGAGACTTACCAGACAAATAACTAGCCTCTGAAGTTTTTTTCTTTTTACTTTTATATATTTTTCTAAAATACATTTTATTGAAATATAATTTATGTATAGTGAAATACACAAAACTAAAGTGACATGGGTCAATGCATTTTTTTTCCCCATGTTCCCTCTCCTTTCCTCCCACAACCCTTAGTAACCAACAAAGAAAGTTTCCCTCCATATATAAACCTTTCCTTGACACTCCACAGCAATAAACTAATACTATATTTGTCCTTCTGTGATTGACTTGTTTCACTCAGCATAATGTCCTCCAAGTTCACTCATGTTATGCAGTGTTTTGCAGATTCTACGTTATTCTTTAGGGTTGCATAATATTCCATTATGTGTGTGTACCACAGTTCGATTATTCATTCTTCTGTTGATGGGCACCTAGGTTGTTTCTATCTTTTTGCTATTGTAAATGTTGTTGTTATGTGCCGTCGAGTCGGCCCTGACTCATAGCGACCCCTCCTTGGGTTTCCAAGGCAGTTATCACTACGGAAGTAGGATTGCCCAACCTTCTTTCCGAGGAGTGGCTGGTGGATTTGAACTGCCAGACGTCTGGTTAGCAGGCAAGTGTCTTAGCCACTATGCTACCAGAGCTCCCATATATCTGTTCTTGTCCTGGCTGTCACTTCCCTAGTAATTTTATTTTTCTCTTCCTATTCTGGAATTCCAGTGACACATAGGTTATTCCTTTTGATGGTATCTTGTAGTAATGGGATTGCTGGGTCAAATGATATTGCCTCTGAAGTTTCTTAAAATGTTTGAGGTTTGGTGGGGCACACTACCTCCGTGAAGATTTATAGCCTTGGAAACCCAATGTGAGTTGCTACGAGTCGGAATCAACTCAATGGCAGTGAGTTTGGTGTTGGTTGGTTTTTTTTTTGCTGTGCTCAAATATGAGTGTATAATCAAGTCTATGGAGCTTGAAACCTCTTGTACAAGGAGCTAAATTAAGTCCAGCCCTCTCTGACTCTTGAGCTTGTTGTGAGTCACCTCCTTTTATCAGAATCTTTTCAGTTACCACACCTAAATTAGAAAGGTATTGAATAACAGCATCCTTAGAAAGAGAACTTGTGATGGTGAATTTCCTCTCTTTCCGCCTCAGGAAATGGGTCTCAGTCTACAGTGGTTATATTCTGCTCGTGGAGACTTTTTCCGTGCTACTTCCAGGCTGACAACAGATTTCAAGAACGCCGAGACAGCAAACAAATATATCATGAGGGAAATGAATAATCGTATCATGAAAGTAAGTAAACTTCCATAAAAGGGGAAACTAAAGCATGTTGATTTTTACTGGTAAATCACCACGTTTCTAAAATGTGGAGTAACTTCAGGAACCTAGAATACTTTTCTAAGTTAGAATTCAGCACAGATTTTTAACTCTTAGCAACATCTATGTCCAACATATCAAAGCCAGAAATACAATTGATTTTTTTTAATGCATTTTATTGAAATATAATTTATGTACAGTGAAATACACAAAACTAAAGTGACATGGGTCAATGCTTTTTTTTTTTTTTTTTTTTTGCAGTGTTCCCTCCTCTCCCACCCCTGGCAACCAACAAAGAAAGTTTCCTTCCATATATAAACCTTTCCTTGACTCTCCACGACAATAAACTAATACTATATTTGTCCTTCTGTGATTGACTTATTTCACTCAGCATAATGTCCTCCAAGTTCATCCATGTTATGTGGCGTTTTGCAGGCTCTACATTATTCTTAGTGCTGCATAGCATTTCATTGTGTGTATGTACCATTGTTTGCTCATCCACTCTTCTGCTGATGGGCATGTAGGTTGTTTCCATCTTTTGCCTATTGTAAATAATGCTGTGATAAACATGAGCATGCATGTTTCTATCCTGTCTCTCACCTCTCTAAGATATATACCTAATAATGGGATTGCTGGGTCAAATGATATCTCCAATTCCAACTTTCTAAGGAATCACCAGATTGCTTTCTACAGTGGTCATGTCACTTCACAGTCACACAAGGAGTGTGTGAGAGTCCCAATCTCTCCACATCCCCACCAGCATTTGTTATTTTCGGTCTCATTGAACCTTGCCATCAGTGCTGGGGTGAGACAGTATATCTCATTGCTGTTTTGATTTACATCTCTCTGATGGCCAATGATTATGAGCGTCTTTTCATGTATTAGCTGACCACCTGAATATCTTCCTTGGTGAAGTGTCTATTCATGTCTTCTGACCATTTTTCAATTGGATTGTTAATTGTTTTGGTGATGAGGCGTTGGAGTTTTCCATCAATCTTAGATAAGTCCCTTTCCAGATATGTAATTATTAGCAAATATGAATTTGTTGCTGTCATTTTTGTCATGTGCTTTTTCATAATATCAATTTCTTTGTTCCATATAATTTTCTATGCTTAGCTCGTTTTATGAGTCATGTTATCACTTCCTTCATTGCTATTGTTTTAGTATTTGTTGAGTATTTATGCTGATCCTCTTTTACTTTGATGTGAAAGTTTATCATTTTTCTTTGAGATTACCTTGTGATTTATAGTTTTCTTCCCAAGTGTAGAACAGTCCGTTCTATCTTGTAGTTGTCTTGACTTCCTTACCACCTAGAAGTTCTGTAATGACATAGACTTTTTCCCCTCTTTTTGGTTTATAGTTGTCCTCTTTTGTTGGTTGGTGTCTCTGGTTCCCTGTTTACAATCTTGTAGGCTTATTTACTTTGGATACTTCCATAGCTAGGTTGGTTTCTGGGTTATACCATCGTGTGTTAATGGTCAGTTGTTGGCTGTTGTTGCTTCTCTGTCCAAAGGGCTCCCTTTAGCATCTCTTGTAAGGTTGGTCTGGTTTTAACAAATTCCCTTAATTTCTGCTTATCTGGAATTGTCCTAATTTCACCATCATATTTGAGGGACAGTTTTGCTGGGTACATCATTCTTGGTTGGAAATTTTTCTCTTTCAGTGTTTTATATATACCATCCCACTGCCTTCTTGCCTGCATGGTTTCTGTCAAAAAGTCCAAGCTTAGTCTTATTGGTTGCCCCTTGTAGGTGTAACTTTTCATTTTTCCCGTGGTACTCTCATGATTCTTTCTTTGTCTTTGGTTATGTCTGGGTGTTTTTCTTTTGGGGTCTATCCTATTTGGGGTTCATTGCACTTCCTGAATGGATATATTCTCATCAGGATATATTCATCTCAGGGAAGTTTTCCTCCAACAAATGTTGGACAATTTTCTCAGTGGTTTTATTTTTCTCTTCCTGTTCTGGAATTCTAGTGACACATAGGTTATTCCTTTTGATGGTATCCCACATGAACCTTAAGCTTTCTTCATTTTGTTTTGATCTTTTTTCTGATTGATCCCTTTCCAAAGAAGTATTCAGGTATTTGTCTTCAATCTCATAATTCTGTCTTCCATTGCATCAATTCTATTCTTTTGCCCTTTCAATGTGTTATCTATTTCTGACAATTTAGTATTAATCTTCTGGATTTCTATCTGTAGATCTAGAATCATTTCTAATTTTTCATTTATTTTGTCATTTTGTTCATGTATTTTCTGCCAGAATTCTTCTAGAGTTTTGTCTGTGTTTTCCTTGGTCTGTCTTTCAATCCTTTGAAGATACCTAAATATAATTCTTTTGAATTCCTTATCAGAGTTCTAATGCTGTGTCTTCCTCAGGGATGTGTTTTGGGTCTGTATCCGGTCCCTTATTTCTCCTGCTTTATCTTGCTTCTTTGTGTGGACTGTGATGCTTTGTTGTCTCTGAGGCATTGTGATGTTTTTGTGTTTATGTTTAATTGGTGATTAGATGTTGGAGTGACTTGCCCACAATTTTCGTTTTCTTTGTTTTGTTTGTATGTTACCTGTACAGGCAGGGTACTGTGCTGTGCTCCTCTATTCACTAGTTGACAGCACTTATACACTCACTACCTGTCTCCTTTCCTGTCATCAGCCTCTTGTATGTCCTTGGGGACCCTGGCAAACAGCCTGTTCTTAGGTCCCTGCATTCCGAATGAGAATGCTATCACTTTAAAATCTAAAATGGTTGCCACTTGTAAACATTGAAAATGGCTGCACCCTCAGTCACCTTAAACATCCAAAATGGCCGCCGCTTGTAAACATTCAAAATGGCTGCACCCTCGGTCACTTTAAATATCCAAAATGGCTGCTACATATAAACAATCAGAATGGCTATGCCCTCCGGACAGCAGAAAATCCACAGCTCAGGTTTTCTCCCTCCTTGCTATTTCCCTTCCTACTCATAGGCCACCAGAGCAGTTGTCCCTACAGCCCTTGGTGACTGGGACTGATCTTTAGGTCAATTCTCAGGCCCCAATACCACTTGGAAATATTCAGGCTGTTGGTCTCGTCAGAGTAGCTGACAGTCGCAGTTCTGACCATCTCTGTACTCATTGTTTTCGTTCAGGTTTTTCCACTAGTTGGTGCCTAATCCACTCCTGTACACTTCCTTTCAAAGCTCAGGGCTCCAGGATTATCTTCTGTATCTCTGTCAACTGATTTTTCTTTTCTTTGTTGAAGAGCATCTCTGTCGCTTGTCTGCCTATTCCATCTTACTGGAAGTCTTGATTTTTTTTTTTAAGCCTTTTAAAAATGTTTTTTTTTTTACTTTAAAGAAGAGACCATTAATTTTATTTTACTATTATTTTCTATATTGTCTCATTTATCCTAGTTTGCTTAGAAGAAACAAAAGATTTTATTACAATAGAAATTTACAAACCTTCCATATGCTACAACCAAAAACAAACCCAAAACAATTAAAGGTTACTTTTATAAGGGAAAAGACAGTTTGCTTTAGAATTATAGCCTTAGAATATTAGTAGTCTGTTTCTTAACATTCTTAAATTTAGGGAAATTGAACATTTGAAGTGGGATCATGACATGTAGTTGCCTTACTATCTATCAGTCCTTTCCCAACAACAGAAGTCAGCGCTGTGTAAGCTGTCCTGTATGTTTTGTTTTCATAGGTGGAGTATCACTTCCTCTCACCCTATGTATCTCCGAAGGATTCTCCTTTCCGACACATCTTCTGGGGCACTGGCTCTCACACTCTATCAGCATTACGAGAGAACTTGAAACTGCGTCAGAAAAATAGAGGTGCTTTTAATGAAACACTGTTGAGAAACCAGTTGGCACTAGCTACTTGGACTATTCAGGGTGCTGCAAATGCTCTCACTGGGGACATTTGGGAAATTGACAATGAGTTTTAGAATATAATACCTATAACTTACATAAGAACAGTAAGGCAGCCTGGTTCCTACACTTGTGCTGGTTATTCTGAATTTTTAGTAGGGCTATAAAACTAATGTCGTTAAAAAATTCTACCCACTCTTCTTGGTACTTCTAGATGTCTCTAAGCAGCAGCTTTTAATACAGGGTAGATACCTGCACTTCAAGTTAAAGTGAATAATCACTTTTAAAATGTTAGAATATTTTCTCTTGATTATTTCTAGAATTTTAAGCGCTTTGTATTAGCAACTGCCTCTTTCCTGTTCGTTATGAAAAAGTGAGAACCAGTTAGTGTGAGCTATTGTTCCAAATCTTAAGGACACAAGCTAGTATCTTTTCAGGTGGGAGGAGGGAAGTGGTCACTGTTGAAGCTTCCAAGTGCAGGTAGCTTAGTATGATCTTCCATCTTCGCCTGATGCTAGATAGGAGATACTAGGTTATAAGACCTTATTCTCCAAATGAAATAGTTTCCTTTTTAGAAGGATTTAACTGGTTTTCCACATTCCTGTATGAAACAGTTAACCATCAGAAGAAATGGGACTTCTTTTCTTACCAGCAGGCACTCTGGTGGTGTAGTGATTAAGGCATTCAGTTCCTAACCAAAAGGTGAGTGATTCAAACCCACCAGCCACTCCATGGAAGAAAGATGAAACCGTCTGCTTCCATAAAGATTTATAGCCTCAGAAACCACATGGGGCAGTTCTACTCAGTCCTATAGAGTCATTATAAGCCAGAATCGACTCCATGGCAGTGGGTTTGGTTTTTCTTGCCAGCAAGGTCTGAAATAGAGGTCCTTCAGTTGAATAAAATGGGTTCAACTGTTGATCACAGGAAGAAGGTCTTGATGTGTGTTAATCTCAAGATTATAAAGAGTCTAGAAGCCAAAAACTTAGTGTATTTTCTTTTCATCTGTCCCTAGCCCTATAAGCTCTTGTAGTTTTCTGTTGTTTTTGTTTTTTTCCAAAGTATTTTGAAAGAGAACCAGTTTTAGGTGTTTGATTTCAGACTCAGTTTGTCAGACTTTAAGAACACACTGCCAGATTTTGGCCAAAAGTGTTAATCTTGTGGAAAAGCTTTCTATCATTTTGGCACTGAGATATTTATTGTTTATTTATCAGTGACAGAGTTCACTATAAATGGTGTTTTTTTTATAGAAGATAATTATCGGAAGCAGTGCCTTCCATAATTATGACAGTTATACTGTCGTCTTTTTTTTTTTTTTTTTCTTTTAAATAAAAGCAGCATCTGCTAATAAAACCCAACAGATACTGGAAGTTTTGCATTTATGGCCAATGCTTGAAGGTTTTAGAAAACAGCCGCAAGCCAGATAAAATTATGAAGCTAGATATTGGGGAAGAATTAAACAGGGTTGCTAATCAAGTTAGACTTCTATTTAGCTGACCAAATAAAAATGATGTTATAAATGCAATGAATTGAGACTAAAATGTAAATAAATGTCACTTCAAGGTTGTGGTAATACTCTTAATGTGCAAAATTTTATGCTCAATTCACTTATGGTATAATTCTAATTAGATTTTGCAAAATTTCCAGTACCTTTGTCACAAACTTAACTCACATTATCGGGAGCAGTGTCTTCCATAATGTATAAAGAACAAGGTAGTTTTTGCCTACCACAGTGTCTATATCGGAGACAGTGATCTCCATATGTTACACTAAGGGTGTACGTAATTATCGGGAACAGTGTTTCCCATAATTTTCTTCATGCAATGACATCTTCAAAGCTTGAAGATAGTTAGTATCTAACATGTATTCCCAGCTCCCTGTAATTCTCTATCTTTCAGCTGCAGAAATATTTTGTGGTCATGAAGCATTTGATGGATAAATTCAAACCACTGTAGAATAAAATTACTTCTTCAGTTTTTTTTTTAAAACCTAATGTGAGTGTTTAGTTGTATTTGTTGTCTTCTATATAGTGAGATAGTAGCATACATTTATAATGTTTTGCTATTGACAAATGAATTTAACTTTCCCCTTATTTGCATGTATCTCCTGTAAGCTTAGTTCAGACATGTTTGAATCCAAAATTGACCTTTTGGCCTAAAGCAGGGGGAACTTGTGTAGGAGATGGGGTGGGGAGGGGCAGGGGAGGCATAGCATACAAAAAGGTCTTTGACCATGTCTACCTATCCATCAGTACGTGGTGGCCATAAGTTAAACGTAGATGTCAGGAAATAAGTTTGAGGCTACTTGAGTAAAAGACTTGTATTTTCTAGTTACCCAACATGGTGGATAAACCTGATAATCAGCTGTTCATTATAGGGCAGTTCAAAACTGCTACCTAAGAAAAAAGTCCATAGGATCTCTTAAGAGTCTTCAATTTAGAAGCACTTACCCGAGTTAAGTAGATTCTAGGTTATTATAGCCTCTCTGAATTGCTTCACTACTCACACTGTCTGTTTAATCTTCACGGTGTTTAATCTTACATATTTAGTGTAGCTAAGTGAACAGGTCAACGTGGGGACTCCTGGGTTTCTGGGTATCACCTATACATACTTTTATGAAAGCTCAGTTACTTCGGTGCAAAAGAAGAATAATGGGCATATATCTTATGGTAGTAAATTTCCTCAAAAAACCCTTTTCTGTGGTTAGGGTTGGTTGAGTTATTTCCAATCAAACAAGCCAGTAAGTGGCAAGAATGAATGAATGAAATGTGTGTGTTACTAGAGATAACCTGTGAGTTTTTCTGGCTAAAGATGTTATGTGCATTTTGAAGGTAAAAGATAAATTGAGGGATTTCTGTCATGATTCACTGTCCTAGGACTTGTGTAACCTTTATTGTCCATTGTTCTTTGAATGTTCTAGAACTTGCAGCTGGCTAAAGATGACTTACTACACTTGCCAGCCTACTTCTTAGCTGTATCTTTGTAAACAAACGATATGCCCTTGAAATTGTATACAAGCTGGTATGTGCACCAATGTGGAGAGTCCTTTTCTGACTTAATAAAGTGTCTGAACACTGAGGTTGTTGATGGTTTTTATTATGAATAGCAAGGCTTTCCAAAGGAAATATTTTGTGAGCTGCCTATGTAATTTAAAATGTTCTAGTAGCCACCTTAAAAACGTAAAAAGAAACCAGTGACATTAATTTTAAGACTCTTAACAATATGTCCAAAATAATACCATTTCAATATATAATCAGTATTAAAAAGTTATTGCTGAGATACTGTAAATTCCTTTTTCATAATAAATCTTCAAAATCCAATGTACTTACATCACATGTCAGTTTGGACTAGCCATATTTCACTTGCTCAGCAGCCACATATGGTTAATGGATACTATAGCTCCATTGCAAAAGGAGCAATTGATGAAGGTTTGCTCTCACAGGGTCTGTACTATGCAATTACCAAAAAAGGCCATTACACAATTTAATCTTCTCCCTACAAGTGCCACCCAGTGTTATTCTATATGATTGCAGGAATTGCAGCCACTATAATTGGGAAACCTTAGAATTGCCCATCTGTGTCCCAGCTATTCCCCTATCAGAATTAGTAACTATATGCATACCTTCAAAGAGAAGCAAGACATGAATTAAAATGCTATATTCTGCAGGAGAAAGTGCCTATGTGAAAGAAAGTTATAGGCTAGGAGGCAGCCCTAAAATATTTGAAGACATCTGGTTATCTACAAGATACTTTTACTTGGAATTTAACATGCCAGTTATTGGTATCTTCCTTGTGGCTATCAAGGGGTTTACCTTTGTAGGTGTTAGAGCCTTTGCAGTTTGGTGCATCTGCCCTTTAGACTGCCTAATGTTTAATCCATCTCAGATGGACTGTCCAGTTGGAAATGCCTTTGTGGAAGATACTCACATACAGATGGTCAAAATGCAGAAGGGTCTGTATCGAAAAGTAAGTTTTTCTTCTTAGTCCCAACAATTTCCCTTTCTGAGTACCCACAGTTACCAAGTTCTTGTGTACACTAACAGTAATCTATGCATAAACAAGACTATCCTTGAGATCATACAAACACACTTGGAGGTGTAAGAAGCTCATCTAATTTTTTAAAAGCACCCTACAACCTGTCCCCCACACTGCTTATAACTGGAAACTCCAGATAAAGTAGGAAAAACAGGTAAGAGAAATAAAACCTGGAGAAGTTACCCAAAAAAGAGGGAGTTGGCAAGAACAGAAATGTACAAACAAAAAAAGACTTATACTAAATGGTACAGCAAATTCCAGCCATATCAGTAATTTTTGAGACAGTAACATTCCAGTAAAAGATTGGCAGTGGGAGGGAAGAAAAGACCCGTTTGTATGTTGCCTTCAAGAAACACTTTAAAGATGTGACTTGAAAGAAGTTGAAAATGGATAAGAACCCTGGAGCGGCTAACTTCAAGACAATGTGTAACTAGAGATAGAGGGACGTTGCATAATGATAAAAGGGACAATCCATCACGAAGGTAATAGCCTTAAAATATATGGATAAAAAATACACAGAATTAAGGACAGACAATTTTGCCTTCATAGTACATTTTAACACCTTTCTCTTAGTAATTTATACAACTAGACAAAAACTTAGAACCAAAGATTCGAACATTATCAGCCACCTTAACGTAGTTTTCATTTATAGAATACTACGTCCAACAAGTGAAGGATGCACGTTTTCCCCAGGTGTGCATGGTCTGCTCATCAAGACGGACACATGCTAGATCATAAAACAAGTCTCAAAATTTTTTAAAGAATTGAAATACACAGAGAATTCTCTGATCATGTATAGCCAAATTCTTTACCAACACCACAATTCAAATGCATCAATTCTTTTGTCTTTTTCATTGTCCAGCTTTCACAGGCATATGAGGCTATTGAAATACATCAATGTATTTAGCAGTTCCAAACAAGAGACGTGAAAACATGTCCATACAAAATTTTGTATATAAATATTCATAATAGTTAAAAAGTGAAAACAGCCCTAATGTCCATCAACTGGTGAATGAATAAACAAAATGTGATATAAGCATACA